CGCGGAGTTGGGCGGCGGGTGGCTGGAGCGAGGCGACTCGCCCGAGCCGCAAGGCTCCCGCGCCGACGAGGCCCGTCTCGACCAGCCTCCGGGCCTGCCAAGCTGCGTCGGCCGCACACGAGTCGGGCACGATGCTGTTGACGGATAGGAGACCCGACATGGCGCCGCGCCCCCGAGTGTTCAAGGCCTCGTAGGCCACGCCGCACAAGCCGACCATTGCGACAAAGTAGAAGAAGAAGAAGAAGATCTGAGTGCTGCCAGTCAGTGCCACGACCTCGTTCTCCTTGGCGCGCCTCGAGCGCTTCTGGCCGTCGACCTTGTCGGGGCCAGTCTTGCTGGCCGAGGAGCCGCTCCACGACAGCGCCACGACAGAGAAGCCCAGGCACCCCATGAGGGCACCGATGAGGAGGGGAGAGCTGCCGGCCGTGTTCGTCTCGGCCGTGTTGATCTCCGCCTGCGGAAAGGCAAGCGCGTGCGACAGTCCGTCACGCACGCTGGAAGAGGCGCGATGAGTGAAAGCGAGTGGCTTGGCATGGCACGCAGGGCAGGCCGTGCGGCAGGCAGGCCAGAGGGGTGTGACGGGTTGGCGATACGCGATGCGGCGGCGCGGCAGAGAGCAACGCTGATCGCCTGGTCCACGCTGATCGCCTGGTTCACGCTGATCGCCTGGTCCACGCTGATCGCCTGGTCCGCGCGCTCCATGCCAGGGGCGGCCCAGCAGCCGGGTGGCTCCCCGGACTCGAGCACGAGGGTACCCACAAGGCGGTACCAGGGAGCGCTGCCGGTCGTGTCCATGTCGGGTGCCTCGCTCTCTCCCTGAGAAGGGAGAGGGGGGGTTCCGTCAGGCGCGCAGGAGGAGAATGATAGAAGCGAATGCCGCTCAGAGCAGTCAGGGCAGCGCTCAGAGCAGTCAGGGCAGGGTAGAGCGGCGCATGAGGTGTTCTAGAGGGGCGAAGGGTGGGCGAATACGCAGTGCGGCGACGTGGCGAGTGCACTGCGGGTCGCCGAGTGCCTGGTCACTCCGCTCGAGCTCGGCCTGCTCGACCTCGAGCAGCGAGGAGTCGGCGCGGTCAACGGAGGCGCAGGCGCCCCGCCAGTCTGGAGCCTCACTTGAGAATGAGAAGAGGTCCACCACATCGGGCGGTGCCTCGATCTTGTATTCCTGGTTTGTGGCTCGAGAAGTGTTTGCCGGTCTGTCGATCGCCCGCCGCTCACCGCCGGCGTGGGGAAGAGAGAGGTGGACGAAAGCTGTCGGACTGGAGATGCTCGACCGGCGTGCGGCAGAAGCGGAGACTAGGATGACGAGCGTGACGCTCATTCGCAAAAGCTGAGCGGCTTTGGCTCTTGCTCTTGCTATGGAGGCGTCCTGGAAGGGCAACAAGGTAAAGCCAGCGCAAACAAGGTGGTAAAGCCAGCGCAAGGGGTAAAACCAGGCGTGACATCCATGAACACGCAGGGCCTGAAAATAATTTTAAGAATAAGGTATACTAAGGGACTGCAAGCCCACTGATTGGCGGCCACAGGGTGGAAACATTGCGCGGCCGCCGCCGTCGGCAGCGCTGGCAGGCGCGATGAGCGACGTGCCACCTGACCCGAGACGGGTCGCAGACGTCGTACCGAGCGCGTCGAGACCGTGTCCTGATGTGATCTGCACGGGTGAGTCACGTCGGCGTCAAAGGAGCGACGTGCGACCTGTCAGAGCTTGATCTCCGATCTCAGCGGCGTCGAGTCGCCTTCGGCGGCGACACTTTTGTCCCTCCCCAGGACGCGCAGAGGCAGCTGCGACCCCGCCGAGTAGACGCGGCGATGGCAGCGCCGGAGGTGGCGGCCTGGCTGGCGGCGGGAGAGGCGGCGTTGTTGGCGGCGTTGAATGCCCGCCCCTCTGCAAAAGCCGACGCCGCCATGGCCGCTCGAGTCGGCGAGACGCCTGCCGCCAGGAGTGGCGGTTGATCAGTCAGCATTGCACACCTCCCGACCGAAAGGTCTCTCCCTCCCTCGCTCTCTCTCTCTCTCACTCTCTCTCTCTCTCTG